TCTTCGTTCGCCTGCCTGGCGCATGGCAACGCACGTGCTGTCTAACGCGTGATTTCGTCAGCTTCCGGTTTGGCCTTGGCAACACGCCTTGTGTCTGATCAGATTTCGGCTGGGCCCTGGTAACACGTTCGTAGAGTCCTTCCCAAGCACGATTGATGGTAAACGCGCGAGCGTTGGCTCTCAGCTTTCTCGCCCAGCTGTCAAAAATGTTAGCCGGACTGACCCTACCAACTACCGTCCGATAGAACTAATTCCTGTACCATGGAAAGTTATATAATCAATCATCGCAGATGCGCTGATGCAGTATCTGGAAAGCCACAACTTAACAGCCCCAGAGCAACATAGCTTTCGTCAAAAGCGTTCATGTAATACTAACCTATTAATTGCACGTGATAGCTGGACTGAAGCTGTTGATGATGGAGCAGAAGTCGATGTCATCTACCTTTACCATGATCCCTTAGACCATCTAATTCTCCTTCACAAGCTTCGGAACTACGGCATTGGAGACCCAATCCTGAGTTGGATTAGCAATTTTCTACACGAAAGACGCTAGAGATGAGTCCGAGAATCATTGTCCGATACAATCGATGTGGTGTACCACAAGGCTCAGTGCTTGGACCTCGTCTATTCTTGGTGTTCATTAACGATTTGGCGAGATCAATTGCTGACGAATTCCTATTTTTCGCTGATGATATCAAGATATGGCGAAGGATCAGAGGACCGGGCGACCACGAACGGCTCCAGTGCGATCTTAGCACAGTGTCGAACTGGTCAGTACAAAACTCCCTACCATTCAAAGTAGACAAATGTCGCCTTGTACGACTACGCCATAGACATAACTACACGTTTGCTTGTGACAAACGGATTGCAGACTAGCTCCCAGGAACGTGACCTTGGTGTGCTCGTACAGAGCCACCTCAACTGTGCAAAACAGGCTGAGGCAGCTGCGAAAAGAGGCAACCAGCAGTTCGGTATACTGCGAAGGGCATTCGGAAGATTTGACGCATCAATCTTTTCAATAATGCATAATTCCTGCGTGCGCCCGCAAGTTGAATACGCTATCCAGACTTGGCAACCTTGGTTGAAGCGCGACCTAGAGGCGTTACAGGCACCACAATGAAGAGCAACAAAGAATGTAAAAGGGCTGCGCTATCACTTTTACCATCGGAAGCTGAAGTTGCTTAGAATTTCCAGCGGACGCTATCGAAGGCTGCGCGGCGATCTCATATTAGCGTATCAGATATTGAGAGACCCCAACCACGTATGCCACCATTTGCTAAAACTTAACCACAACACGCAGCTCAAGGGTAACTGCTTAAAATTGAAGGAACAATATAGCCGTCTGGAGTGTTGTCGTAATTACTTTTCCCTTCGGGATTGCCAACGCTGAAACGCACTCCCAGACTCAGTTGTATCCTCCCCTACCTTGGATGTTTACAAAAAACGGTCAGATGTTGCTCTTAGTCCCCAGCACTTTGTTACCTAAATTTCTCTATTGTGGATTACGCCAAACATACTTTTTAACAGGATTTATGTATCAAATGGACCCAAGTGAACGACCATGTTTTACTTTTTTCACGCTTTATATCAACCACTACTGCACTCCAGTGTATTTCTGAACGTTTACGCTCGACCTTTTTTAATTTTACACTGATGTTATTTATCAATGCATTCATCTTCTTAGACGTTTGGTAGATGACTCACATATATTTTGATTTAATCCTATTCACCCCAACCATCCTACGGGATGTGTCAAACACTTGCTATTATCCCGTGATAAATCATTGTGCATGTGTGGGTGGGTGTTAAAGTGGAGGTGGTGGGTAAATTTGAATATGAATTGGTGAATTTGTTCGCCGTGTTCGCCATCGTATGACGAATATTGTTCCCCAGTATGCACATGAATACAAACATAATACCTATCCATTTGAGTTCTTCACGACTGCTGTGCTATGTCTGTTTATCGGGGGATCGTAATGCGAAATCAGAGTTCCAGCCGTAAACTTTTCAGCTGATACCTCGCCAACTGTGGGGATCTGCATGGCGATTTCTGTGGTCACTTATGTCCTCGATGATTAAACATCGCCCGTGATTTCGTGCTGTTCTGAGTGACCAGTAGGTTAATAACCCACACCAATTGGTCGTGAGTTTATGAACGAAGTAGACCACCCGCGTGTCTATTCACATGTATCCAACACAAATCAGCGTACTGGATGTACGAACACCTGCCGCCTAATAAGATATACAACCAAGCGAGTTAAAGTTGGCCTGCTATCATTCATCACTATCGGATGCAAACCGTCCGAAAGCAAGTATCTTATATTTTTCAAGGTATGTGTAGAGTACAGTGGTCAGTCCAGTCAAACAGATATAATCCGGACAGAGGCCAGTTGCCACGATTCACGCTGTCAGGACAACAGCTGGGATTTGCACTGTTTTCGCAGAGACAAGTATTAGGGCTTAAGTGTTTTGTGAATCAGGTAGTTCAAATGTTAGTCGAAGAGGTTAGAGTATTTTCTAGACGCGGGATCCCACCAGTAAGTATGCCTTTCTATATTGAGACTGGAACCTCCTTCTACCTTACTGCCCCCGTTTTTTAGCGTCTTATTACCTTATTATCTCTTACTGTGTCCGAAGATTTTCAACACAAACATACTTTTCGAAGGCAATCACATGACCAGATGTACTAACGCCGTTTAGCATTCGTCTTCTTACAGCGTTTGCTGTGCTCAAATCGGGTTTGGATCACCAGTCGTGTGGTTGAATTACAACACGCAAACGCTATTGAGATCTCGATTTACTTGGAAATAGACCTTTGCAATTCCGTTCACCAGAACTGCATCCAAAGTGGATGGGCTTGGGCGTTGCCCACTCCCAATCCAGATACACGACCGGTTTCGTCTTCTTTTGGACTCATCAGGCACAGAAAACTTGTTTTCTCCGAGTTCGTTGCAATCAGCCGATAAATCAGATAACAACTACCCATCCAGGAAAGCATCAGACGGCCGTTTCGCCCTATTGGGGCTCGTCAGTGACGTGCGTCCTTCGGTCCTCTTCCGAGGATCGAACCCATGACGGCTAGTGGCATGCGACAACTAGCCCACGGCTTATACCATTGGGCAATGGCTCAGTTTGCGCAAGCGGCTAGCAGTCATGGGTTCGATACTCGGAAGAGGACCGAAGGATGAGCACCACTGACGAGTCCCAACAGGGTGAAACAGCCGTCTGATGCTTTCCTGGATTAGTAGTTGCGTTACCTGAATTGTCGACCGATTGCGACGAGTTGAAAATACTCACCAAAATCCTTCTATTCATAAGTAATGGAGATAAATTGAGTTGGTGAGTAGAACTCGAGGCCTAATGGTTAACAGATTACTACTTGATCATTAGGCCACCTCAGGCTATCTCTACCTAATGAGTCCAAATGACGATGAAACCGGTCGCACGGTGTCAGTGTTGGGAGAGAGCAACACGGAAACACCTCCACTTTTGCTGATCGAAATTGCGGTTATCTAGTTCAAGTTAAACCGAGATCAGAGTAGACACTGCGTGTCGCCACCTGAGCACACGGTATGTACTCGAAAGCCAACATTTAATTCCTATCCACGGTGCAAAGCATTGAGCACAGATCTCAGCAGCCTGGTGGGGAACGCGTCAGCCGTCTATCATGTCCCGAGTTCCACTATCAGCTCAGACAATCTCACTGCCAGATGAGTCCCAAAGAGGTCTAAACCGGTCGTGGGGTGTCAGCTTTGGAAGAGAGTAAAACCGAAACCCTTCCACGCTTTTGTGTTGTTGGTGGAAAAATACAAGCCCAGATATGCATTGAGCTCCCCAAGGCACTCGTACCACTCAAATCCTGAACAGCAGCCCAGTTTGACCCTGCGGAGGTAGTTTAGAAACACACTGGCTGATTAAAAGCCCATCGCATTACGGCTCATGATTAGGATGATAATCACTGTCCGCGCTGGTTAAGATTCGGAGCACATGAGGCTAAATTTGTGATATGAACGAAATGAGTTTCTATGTAACACATTGCAAAAGATCACAGACTAGCTGGTTTTTACATCAGCCGATCTCTATGGTTTACTACCATTGGCCACGAATGGGCTGTTTTTCTGATGCGACTGACTGAAGCTTCCAAACTAAAAAAGACTATACCCATGCAAGGCACATTGCCACCGACTGACTGGCGTATAAAAAAGTGCCATAATTGAATGATCCGCAAGACGGACTGAGCTGAGGCTTCATCGCCCATCATGTATGCATAAAAGTATCTCGAAAAAGAACACAGCATATGCTAAACGGGTGATGGCTTATCTGCTACTTTGGCACACCGGCACTCTGCCAGGGAGGGCAAGGAAGTGTGGGCGAAACCTTTTGAGGGAATACCTTGCATGGAAGCAGGTTCCTTGGGGACAGTTCCACGACTGGCCGTATTACTTTACCTGAACAGTTGTTTAAATCTGTACGTGTTAATGTTCCCGACTATTCAATTTCTTTAAATATGTAAGTCTGTCAATTACTTTAATTACCGTGTTGGATCCATTGTATAAAGCGTGAACAATTGCTTATTTTGTGCGATCCCGCTGTACACATTGATCATATCACATAGTTGGACTGTGCCCCGCACCGCCGAGGAATATACCATTTATTTTATTATATTTATATGACCATTTCTCCTATCTCTTACTTACCACAGTAGAATTTCTCGGGGATGACGCTCACTTACCCATCCTTGGGACCCTCCGCTGTTGGCGAATCAACCAGCGACTCGCGATCGGCAAGTTTTGGCTCGCTGGCTCATTTTCGGATTTCAAGTAAAACCTTAAAAGCTGTTGTCTGTTAGTTGGGCACTCCGATTGGGAAGTCGCGTATGTCAGCGATCCAACTGCGTGCACAGTCTAGGCTGAGTGTCGGCCTATCGCGAAAAACGGTTTAGGGCTGCCCTCCCATATTCATTTGACCGTCCCAACTCACACGCATCTCAAGAAGTCTGCTTCAGGAAGGCAGTAAAGTATCACAGTTGGAGGGACAAACATAAGTACATGGAGCCATTAAGTTTCATAGGAGTGACGAATTTGACATGTGTGTGAAAGTAGTACAGACGATCATATCACTCTAAGAAAATAAGTAGTGATCAGAAAAAAGGGATACGAGATAAAAATGAGCTGAGTCATCGGGTGTTCTGCGTCGTGGGCAGATGGACATAGGACTTGTTGGGCTCCGCAAGCCACGATGAAGAGTAAAAACAACGGCACCATGACGATTTGACACATGTGATAATGTGGTGATAAAACTGCACTCATCGGAGGACACCAAATTGTCGTGGTAACGAAAACGTTGAGAATGCATGCTGTCCGAATCACCGATAGTCACACATAGTACGTGGCCCCGTCCGTCTGTCAGCATCAAACGTGAACAGGGTAGCACCTCCATATGCTGGACACTGGAGAGAAAGTCTGGAAATGGAGAAATATTCAGAACAGCTTGTACAATGTGATCTCCCAACCCAGTTTCATGAATGGATCAACGGGATTGTGTGCAAAAGGTTCATGAAGTAACTACAACGCTAATCCATAATATGCGACTTAAAGATTCGCTTTAGCATTACCCACTTGCGTTTTAATGCATCGTCGGTACCACTATAATGTAAATAAATAAATACTGTTCATTCTCGACAGGGCAAAGTTTGTCTACGTAGGCACGATGATGTTAATCTAAACAAGGATGGACAATTGCACAAAAAATTTTAAAAATACTACTAACGTAATGCATCCATGTGCGTATGTGTATATGAATGAGATTGGAGCCCCCTGAGGACGCTACTCGATGGTAGTTAAAGCGCTACTTGCACACAGACTATAGACATAATGCAAATCTGGCAAAAACACTGATTGCCTCTTGAACAACCGTTCAGAGATCGACTGGCCTACTTTGAACGGCCTGAAGCGGCACCGTGTGAAAATCAGTTTGGCGGACACGCTGACACTGGATGAGACGCAGAGAGCACTTGCTCAGCTGCGAAACGGCAAGTGTGCTGGCGCCCACGGCATCCCGCCTGAAGTATTGAAACACGGCAAACCCTTGTTAGTGCCTGCGCTGCATCACTTGGTGCAACGTGTGTGGGTTGAGGAGGAGGTGCCTCCTGAGCTGAAGGATGCCCTTGTGTTACCACTGTACAAGGACACAGGGAGCAAACAATGTTGCACGAATTATCGTGGCATCAACTTGCTGAGTTGTGTGGGCAAGGTGGTTGCCCCAATCCTGTTCAACCGCCTCGACAGTCAGGTTGTGGAACCTAACGTGGCGAAAGAGCAGTGTGGATACCACTCGGGTCGCAGCACTATAGATATGGTGTTTGCGGCTCGTCAGTTGCAGGAGAAATGCAGAGAACGACACCAGCCTTCGTACTCGCTTTTTGTTGATTTCACCAAGGCATTTGATACGGTGAACCACGAGGCATTGTGGCTGGTGTTGGGTAAGTTTGGTTGCCCGATTAACTTTGTAAGTTTAATTGAATGTCTGTACAGTGGTATGCGAGCGAGGGTGCAGCTGAGTGGAGAGACCTCGGATGAATTTGCAGTTATCTCTGGTGTGAAGTAAGGCTGTGTCTTAGCTCCTGCCCTGTTTAATATTTATCTTCATGCAACGATGTCTTGTGCTTTTGATCCCGCTTGTGCTTACGTTGTTCGTGTGGAGCACCGTATTGATGGTGGGTTGCTGAACATCCGTCGTTTCGGTGCGAGAACCCTAGTCCGTGAGACAATTATAACAGACTTGGTAGTTCTCCCAGTGTATGGTCGAAAATGAAGAGAAGTCAAACCAGGGCATTCCACAGACTGCGGCCCTTGATCATGTCCGACGATGGCCCTAAGGCACTTGACCGAAGAGTTAAGGGACCTCAACCAACCTTAGTGATAACGACTATGCTTTTGCGTAATTAAAAAATCACTCTTGAAAAAAAATCCGAGGGGCGCACAAAACCTGTGTTGGACATAGAAGAATGTGGAGAGGGTTATGAGCCAACCGGCATTGTGAGCTCCACGCAGCCGGCTTCTAAGATTGTTCTCACATCATCAGCATCACCATCAGCAGCAGCAGCATCCATCATCATCATCAATGCACATCAGCTGAGGGTGAGAAACGCTCTTCAGCTAAGATGCTGCAATAAAAAATGACAGATATTCTACATCACAGACTACAAAAACGAAAAAGCAATGTAATGCCAGATGTCATATTAACATGGGTTATGACGTCGTTGCCAAAGGAGAGAAGAGGGATAAAGGCAAAACACAAACGTCATTGAGGTCGGCTATATACCACACCAAAAATATGCATCCAACAAAACGTATCATTCGTTCTTCGGACCCCGGCCCGGCAGTCGGGAGACACCAACGGACGCCAACTTCGAGGTGAGGGCTTTCATTCCTCTTGAGCGTGTCGTCGGTTGATCTCCCTTCATCCTCTTCCATCCATATCCTGGTCGCGCAAACAACGCACGACGCGGGAGTCGGTGTGTTGGTATGCGCGACAGGTGGCCCAGCCATCGCAGTCTGGTGCATGATATGACGGTGCTGAGAGGTTCACTCGCTATTTCTGAACTAAATACATGAAGCCGAACACCCTCATTGCTCACACAGTGTTCCCGCGATATATAAGCCAAACTGCGAAAGCACCGGTGGTTTGATGTAACAAGCCTCTTTACCCCAGTCGATCAGATTTCGTAACCATACAGTAGGGTTGAACGGAGTACTGTAATGTACACTCTACCCTTAAGGGCGAGAATGATGTCGCGCCGGCGCCACAGTTGGCGGAGATTGGCAAAAGTGTCTCGAGCTTTTGTTATACGGTTGGTGATCTCATGTTTGATCCCAAGGGCGCTAATATAGTTTCTGAGACTTTAATTTCTGGATGGATTGTAGATGATCATCACCAGGGGTCAGCACAGGGGGGGTCCCGGCCAATCTTGGTAAAGGGCTTTGCATTTCGACAGTGCAAAGCATATCCCGAAATGACTGACAGCCAGAGCAGCTTGGCACGTTTGGGAGCTGTCACAGATTAACTGAATGCCGTCGGCGTAATCCAAGTCAAGATGTCATTCACTTGGGAGCAGCTCCACCACTTTTAGATAGTGTCCAGTGAAGGGCGTTTCTAGGAGTGCGTCAATGGCGAAGTAAAAAAGAAAAGATGACAGCGCGCAATTTTGTCTCACACCGCTGGAGATATTGAAGGGCGGCAACAGTTTGCCATAAACCCTCACTCTGACTGAACTATGTGCGTACGGCACTTTTATGAGATTTACATATTCCTTGGGTATACATTTCCTGAATAGGTAGTCCCGTAAGTCACATCCATCCACCGGATCGTAGGTATCGTTGATGTTTTGGAACACGACTACGGTGAGTCGTCAATAACATGGCGGTGCTCCGACAATTGACCCAAAGTAAAGATATGGTCAATGCAGCCTCAGTTTCGATGAAAGCCAGCTTGCTCTTCGGGAATCTGATTTTCATGAGTGCCAGTCAATCTATGGAAGACGACAGAGGTAAGTAAGAGATGCAATGAAAATCAGAATGATTCCTCCTCTTGTTCGTGCAGCATAATGCGCATGTACAAAAGAAATTGTCAGCCAGTGGGCTACGCTCGCTGACAATAGGCTGACAGTATATATGATGAGCAAGGGAACAACAAATCAAATAATATCATGGGGTTTATCAGCAAGGCTAACAATTGGAGTCAACCGTGCGGGCTGTACAGATAACTCATTATTGGTTCGTGTTGATGCCACAGAGAAGAAACGAGGAGATACAAAGAACAGGCTCGGGTCAAAAGAATCGGAATGATACCGTGGACGGAGAATAAGGTTTAGCCAATGGAAACAAACAACAGCGGGGGATCAGTACCGTTCCTCTTCGGTTTAAACGGCTTCTAGATTGTCAGATGGAATTTGATCCGTGCTCACTCTACTGATTTGCAGAGGGTCACGAAGCAGAGTCATCATTAGATTAACAAGCATTGAGGATCACTGGTTGTCAAACCACATCGGGTACCGGAGAGGCAAATGCCCCCCAAAGATAGTGCAAATCAGAGTTCGGCTCAAGTGTTCAGCAGGCGTCCGCCACGTGATTTACCTATCCGTGATTGTATGCCCCTAGCAAGTAGCACGAATCTGCACAACGCGCTTCGAGGAGGTGGACGAGTTGGCTGTAAGCTACTATCTGTTTTGATGTTAGCACATAGCGAAAATGAACACGTTCGGTGACCGCAGTATGTGTTCAACACAATTCTCACATTGACATGGCTCGCTTCCCTGGACATCCAACTGAATAAACCCAGAGTCGACAAACAAGTTATTTCTGTCCTGCGTGTAGTTGAGCAACATGTCAATGCTGTCTCTGATTATTGTTTTTACACTGGGAGCAGTTAGCCCGAATTAAATCCAAGGCGCTCAAAGACTCTGTGGAAGTATTTGCAGAGACACTGAGTTTAGCTGATTGCCACCAAGTAGCGTGCCGTTTTGGTTTATTGTTGTTCCATGACGTTTCCAAAACGAATGAATTCAGCAAGATAGAGAGAGGAATGGGTGTTGGCCAAGACGAGTGTACCAAAAAAATGAAAAAATCTGTGCACCTAAGCATCCACAAGCCACCTAATTCCAGCGCTTCTCATCGTCCGAGGCCGAAAAGCGAGATTAGCCTAGAAAGACATTATCCGATGTTTTCCGTAGTGGGACCTCAAATCGTAAGGTGGCAAAATGATGGATGCCAAAGTGATGGATGGATCTATTTACAAAAACCTGACTAATGTACCGATTGGAACACATAACCAGCTCTATGTTTAAAACCGGAGGAAGGGTTCGTACTCCAGCAACGAGTTTGAAGCTCTTGCATATAGAGTATTCATTGAGGACCCAAACTGCTACCGCTTATTGTATGCGATTGTTGGTCAATTTCCTAAAAGAGCCTTGATCTCGTTCAACGAAAACAAAACAAGCCCGCAACAACACAAAGGAGCACTTGGAACACATAATTCTAGTGTTAATGTTGAATGCGTACGCTGTCCGTCGTATGAATCACTGCCTCATACACACAGAGATGGAGAGTCAACTCACAAAGAGGATGATCAAGCAGGTTGCCGTTTTCTTTACAGGTTTACACGTCCCCAGAGAATCAGAAGCCGAATTCCGGAAGGTCGTATCCTCAGCCACTTTATATCAATAGGTCAGTTTCAATTACGAAGGAATGTGGGGGGCCTTTAAATCGGCCGTTGCAATTTTCGCCGAACATCGTATTTTACATTATCTACCGTATATATCTCAGTTTGCAAGATTAAACTGGCAGATATTTTGTGCAATTAACTTTCAAGGTCACTGAGACCCTCTACTCCATCCATATTTGAAAAAAACGGGAGATTGCGCACGATCCCTTATCTACTGTCTTTGGACAAAACATTTTGCATCAATTAAAAGAATACTGAAGAAAAAGTTTAAGGAAAGTTTTTCCGTTTTGTATAGATACAAATCCCGAAGATTTAGTTCAGTTTGTGGGGATGGTTGCTCGATCGATTTATAACAGTGCATCCTTCTCATTTTTCTACCCACTTGTAAACACAACATTTTTAATGGTAACTGGTAGATTTACAGTTGATAATGTAAAATGCTAAAAATGCACCCATTGGGTACATAAAGCTTAGACTGACTTGGACTGAAATTCAGTGAACAAATTCAAGGCAATCCATTGAAGGCTACAAATCTCCCAGTCCAACTGTTTTCCTGATGATTCGCATGGCAGCGAGGCATTACCAATGGATATACTACTGTGTTAAAAAAGAAAGTAAACTTTTGGAATCGCGCACCAAATGGAAGGGGGAGTGCGTGGAGGCTTGTTTAGACAATAAACTAACAGTGGCCGCGTTCCGCTGTGACCGTTTTTCGGCGTGCCCCCTCGGCTCGCCATTTCAAAGGTTCGTTGTTTTTTTTGTACACAGCAGTATGGTACATGTGGCGCATCCCATACAATGCTTCCATAGGATTCAGTTGCCTTTTGTGACCAAGTAAAGCTGAATATCCCAGACCACCGTACATTTATGAAGTATCATTAGACTCACCGGGCAATTCGGGTGGTGTGGGCGGAAGAACGTCCAAAAGTGAAATCAACCACAGGCGTACTCTGGATGAACTGGACCAGCAAGCAATTTCGTGATCTGAGTGAAAATAGACAGTTTGCAGTGCATCAATTTATTTGTTGTCCAGGGACGGACTACAGTCATCAGATGAAACGATTACTGAATTTATAAACGTTGCTAGAATTTCATGCTTAGAAGGTAGATCTCAACTGAGAGAAAGAAGGAGAATGCAATTAACCGTGTCCTGTCTAATGGGTAGCTGGTGCTACAGTTCGATACAGGTAATTTAGCAAATTGACCACTGTAGTTGAATAATACACACTAGCTCACACGTCTGAATTCTTCCTAATTCTGCTTCCGTGAATATAGAGAAGGCTGTTTCAAAGCAGTACGTGAGAACACATACTGTTGAAAGTTGATTCTATGTGAGATATAGTCGGTTGGGGAGCTGAACGTGGATATTAAAACAGTGTAGTAAAAATGAACCAAGGTGAGAATGTGAGCACCTACCGGGATACAAATAGCTCCATACTTTGTATTCTGATTTGGAGGTTCCCGTGCGTGTCACTTTGCAACGATCATCAGGTTCCATGTCCCGGATATCGACAGCCAACGCATTAACTGTGCTCTGGCCAGTACCATTGGAGGACACAGGCCAGCAGTACGCAGGGCTGAAAGTAACTTCTCTGTTTTCGCTTCGGCACAACTTTGTCTCCTCGGCGAGATCCATAATGTAGCAGCTCAGAAGGCATCCTGACTGCCCAAACCAAAGCTCGGATGAGTTGAGACTAGGGAAGGCGAGGCAAAAGAAGTGGGTCGTGTGCACCGGATTATGGTTTATTGGAACGAAAATAAATCAGAATTGTAGTTCGTAACACATAATGTAGCGCACTTATTCGATTAACTTATTGGGATGATAAAGGAAGTATGACCAGTGGCTAGGATAACCAAGTGATGGCCGTAATTGATCCAAGAAGGGTCTGCTACAGACTGATTCATTGAAGTTGTTCAGCTGAACATGCTCGTGCAGCGACGCAGTTAGTGCAACCGAAGTTCTTCTTCTGTGCTACTGCCCATGCCGCGGAATACAAGGGACTGGTCGTGCTTCATGATCGGTCTCAATCGCCTCAGGATTTGATTGTTAGTGTCCTCAAGTGACTACAGAGTGCCAAAGCTAAAAGAAGGATCATAGGTTGCTTGCACCGCAGCACAGACACACGTGTGAGCCGATCCGCAAACCCAGACTGATGACGTCGTCAAGAGGTTGTAGATGCAACACTCATCACGATAATGCGTACATCTGGTATGTGTCGTGGGTCATTTTGAAGCCCTCACTGTGTGAGTGCATTGCGACATGCAATCTCAAGCCGAGTCGCGACCCAATTTTAGATGTCAAGCGTTGCATCTTCAGTCGCGCTGATCGAAATCAGAGGTCGCTAACAAAGTGAATGGCCATGCAGACTCGGATTGCGTGTGGCAATCGATTTAACAACGAGTGCATCAAAATGACATCCGAATGAGTCATTACCCGATGTGACAAGCGTCGCTCGCTGTTCGGTGGCACAGAAATAGAAGCTTTGCTGGTAGTATCGACGCCCCGTGCTCGAGTCGCAATCCTTCTGTCTCCGCCTGACGAGCCCAAGTAACTACCGGACCGGTTGTGGACGGTAATGGTGCAAAAAGGTAACGCTTGACATTCATCCATTGGATCGGTGCTCCCCGACCACACACATGTGGCGGATGCAGACTGTATGCAGTTCCACGACTGAACGGCTATTCAAACCCATTAGCTTCTTCTCCACAAACAACCATTAGCAGCCTCAGGATTAACATTTCATCGTGCTTTATCTGGACCGAGAGCATATCTTTCGCCTAGTACGTTTCCAAAGCACACAGTTAACCTACCTTATGTACGCAATTGACACCGTGACAGATCCTCTTCCGGGTCAATCGATCTGACTGCAGAGGTAGTACGCCTGAAAACGAATAACTTCGAATACTGCCTTGTCAAATTAAGCGAAAGAATGTGCGCCTGTAGGGTTAGTATCAGTTGTATATGGCCCGAATAAGTCGATTTACTGTATGGTCCAAGTCGACGTCGTGATATGCTTCATACAATTGCAGTGGGTTGTATTCAACCCACTGCTTCAATCGGAGTGCGGAGTTGAGCTCTTCTTTGGTAATACGATAATTCAGTGTGGAACTTCGAAAAGCATGTGACTAACAGGCAAATGATCAATGCTGATCGAGTAATTGTTGATTCAGTCTGGTTGCACAGAAGTTACTTTGCCAAACCACTCTGTCTTGCACCCGATACACCCGGATAGGTGCGCCAGCAAAACGCTACTGCGTGGAGATGTGCAGTCGTCTTAATACCAGACCCTGCATCGATCGGAAGACTGTTCGGAAGGAGCGCAAACTGAGTGAGCTCGGTCGTTCTAAAGCGCAACACCAATCGACATTTACGTACCATATCTGTCGTAAGGATCCAATCCTTCATTGGAAAAATTCATCGTTGCCCTACGAATGTATTGCCCCTGGGTGTTTTACATCAAGCTTTCCATGGACGGGTTGGCGCTGATGAATGAGAGCTTTTTATGAATTGCTACTTCCATGATGAAGAACACCATAAAATGTCCGCCTTCCCTTACAAATCTACGTGCAGATGTGAAAGCAAATGATTAGGGGACTTTAGTTAATTATATAACTGTTCTTCGCAAATAGCTAGATTCGCATGTATCCGGAAAAGAAACAGAGGGCCGTTTCGTCCCACTGGGACTCGTTAATAGTGCGCACCCCAGACTCCATGATGGTCTGTCGTCATCTGACACGGCTGAGTGCCCGAAGTTACCAGCTAGTAAGAGAAAAGGCGTGGGTCCAGAGCTACGGTGGTCCGATGGATGCGCTCAATTGATGAGTCACAATGGGATGGAACGGCTATCTAGCGTTTACCCAGATGTGTGGGAGTCTGTGTAACCAGTAGCTTGCTGTTTGTTTTCACAGCCTACTCACCTCGTAGTGCCTCTAGCTATCGCTATGTGGGAGATCCCAGTAGAATGTTACTGTAGACACCGGTAAACAGGTATAACTCATCCAAGGATTACTGCTAGTTAATTAAAACAGAGATGGCACACACATGTGAAGGAACATACCCAATCGCCGGGATGGATATTGCGCTGTGCACTCTTGGCGTGATGCACACTCGATGTGTTTGATTGAAGGTAAGGTGGTACCTTGCATCAAGCTGCATGACAGTGATTTGGATCAAATCGAGACAACCAGAGCTTGTTGCTACCAATGCTAGCTGATAGCGTCCGACAGAGTTGAGTTCCTTTCGCAACTGGCAGTGGTGTGAAAATGATGATTCATCCTCGGGATGCCTCGAAGATTCCAAAGGACGGCCCTCATGAAGTCCGTAAGCAAGCATGAACGAATAGCGATGCCCATGCAAACCGGTCGGTAAATTGCTCTGATGACAGTGTATACGACGTCGCAATGCGCATTTCAGCTGAGGATGACTAGTGTGGAAATAATAAAAGAAACATCGGGGATTACGATGAAAGTAGCATCTTGAATCTCATCCGGGGTTCCCTAAAAAGACAATTATGATGTATCATAGAAAGGTAGGGCTATAATCCTGATATGAAGACCATCCAGAATAGCATCACATGACATTTATTCGTATAAGTGAATAAAATGAACTAGAGAGCAAGCGTACGCAGGGATGCAAACCTTCAATTGTACGTATAACGCGTTAACGCCACGACGATTACTCATGGATGGTCGTATGACCTGTGATGTGCATCCGTATTGGATAATTCTCCTTGAACTAAGAATTAGACTCCGGGTAAACGATGGATGTGCGAGCTAAAGAGCCATTGTAGTTTACGGAACGGACAATGCTGAAAACCTAAGTTATTGAGATGCGTTTCGAGCATAGTGATTTGGTCGCAAACAGTTCATCATCAAGTAAAGCGATAAAACTTCAAGATCAGTGAACACCTGAACAGTTTACTCAAGCCAATGGTATTTCGAACTATTGAAAGTTGGCAGTTGCCTCGCTTAACTATCGGTGGTACATGGATATAAAGATGAAACCGACCGGGGTTCTTTGCAAACGAACATTTAATAACCGGAGAGCTTTAAATGACACGTTTCCAAAAATGAATACTTCTCTAAGTTGAAGTAGGCAACTTACATACTGTTGCGGGCCCGTCAAATATCCCCGCGAAAACGCGCCGGAAACTCTGGTATAGCGGTCGTGGAAAGCGGGGTCCAATTCCTCCCCACAATGCAGCAGTGTTCAGCCACTACGAGACGCGGCCCAACTGCGCACCTGTTGACAACGTTCTTTTACAAATTACCACCCGTAGTGGTAGCAATGTCCCCTAACTTAATGACCCATTGCATTGGCTGTGATTCGCCCTTTCTTGGTCGTAAAAGAGCCTTCAGATGGCCACCTGTCTTGCTTCCTCTTCGCCTTAGTTGGGAGGCGGTCGGGTCACGTGATTTTGTGTGCCTCGTTAGCCGGGCAGCGTTCGCGTCTGGCACTAGCGCGCGTCTACCGTAACCCCCTCTCGTGTGCGTCCGTTAAGAGGACTCAGCGTCCGTCCGAATACGTGCGGCTAAGATCGTACACACGCTCGCTCAATTTCCGTCTCACCAGCGCGTACCCGGGTTAAGCTAACGCCATCAGGTGAGCGCAAATCCGTTCAATTGGCCAGCGTTCCAAGCCGATATCGCAAGACACGTGTACTGGATGGAGCTGAGTGTGGCACTGACCACAAATTGGTGCACACCAAACTGTACATATATTTTCGTAAATCTATGTATTGCACTCCCTCAGTGAATCGGCGCAAATTTAACATTCTGTCCCTCGGTACTGTACCGAAACGTATTGAGCTGGAGAAGGCGATGGCTGCACGCCTGGGTGATGTGGACTGCATAGCCACAGTGGGCCACCTGTGGCACCACATTCGCGACCAGGTGACAGCTGCTGCCGAGCAGACCATCGGGCGCGCAAACTGTAAGCGGCCTGATTGATTTGATGACAACAATGCGACGATTGGCGCATCGCTGTCGGAGAAGAATGCAGCATTTGCTGAACATATGGCAGACCCCAGTGACTTGGGAAAGAGTAGTCAATTTCGCAAACTTCGACGGCGGCTGACCCGAGAGCTCCGTCGCATTAAAAATGCATGGTGGACGGAGAAGGCGAAGCAGACGGAATTCTACGCCGAACGCCGCCAACACAAGGAATTCCTGGACTCCTTATAGGCGGTGTACGGACCGAGATTGGAGCCCCTGAGGACGCTACTCGATGGTAGTTCAAGCGCTACTTGCACACAGACTATAGACATAATGCAGATCTGGCAAAAGCACTTTGACTGTCTCCTGAACAGCCGTTCAGAGATCGACTAGCCTACATTGAACGGTCTAAAGCAACATGATGTGAAGACGAATCTGGCGGACACGCCGACACTGGATGAAACGCAGAGAGCACTTGCTCAGCTGCGAAACGGCAAGTGTGCTGGCGCCCACGGGATCCCACCTGAAGTATTGAAACAAGGCAAACCCGCGTTAGTGACTGCGCTGCACCATTTGGTGCAACGCGTAGTGGATTGAGGAGGAGGTGCCTCCTGAGCTGAAGGATGCCCTTGTGCTACCACTGTACAAGGGCAAAGGTGGCAAGCAATGTTGTACGAATAATCGCGGCATCAACTTGCTGAGTTGTGTGGGCAAGGTGGTTGCCCGAATCCTGCTCAACCGCCTCGTCAGTCAGGTTGTGGAACCTAACGTGGCGGAAGAGCAGTGTGGATTCCATTCGGGTCGCAGCACTATAGATATGGTGTTTACGGCTCGTCAGTTGCAGGAGAAATGCAGAGAACGACACCAGCCATTGTACTCGCCTTTTGTTGATTTCACCAAGGCATTTGATACGGTGAACCACGAGGCATTGTGGCTGGTGTTGGGTAAGTTTGGTTGCCCGCGTAAGTTTGTAAGTTTAATTAAATGTCTGCACAGTGGTATGCGGGCGGGGGTGCGGCTGAATGGACAGACGTTGGATGACTTTGCAGTTATCTCTGGTGTGAAGCAAGGCTGTGTCTTAGCTCCTGCCCTGTTTAATATATATATTTGTGCAATGATGTCTTGTGCTTACGGTGTTCATGTGGAGCACCGTATTGTTGGTGCATTGCTGAACATCCGTCGCTTCGGTGCGAGAACTCTAGTCTATGATACATCTATCCATATGTTGCTGCTTGCTGACGACTGTGCGTTGTTTTCACGCAGCGCAGATGAGTTGCAGCACATGACTAGTGCTCTGGCTTCGACAGCGGCCAAATTGGGGCTCACTATCAACACAAGCAAAACTGTCTGTCTCTTTCAGCCTTCGCCGGAGGTGCAATCTTCAATATTGCCGCGAATCAGCATTGGTGCTGAAGTATTGGAAACCACCTACCGCTTCTGCTAACTTGGGAGTGTGATGTCGACTGATCAGTAGCTACACATTGAGTTGCGTGTTCGCGTGTCGAAGGCAGCGGCGGCATTCTGGAAGCTTGAGTACCGAGAGTGGAACAACCATCAGCTTACCATTGGCACGAAGCTGATGGTGTACAAATCCATGGTGCTGTCCGTTCTTCTGTACGGCAGTGAAACGTGAACGATGTACAGGCGAGAAGTGCGATATCTCGAGCGGTTTTATCAACAGTGTTTGCGACGGATTCTGCGCATCGGATGGAGCTACAGATTTGCAGCCACGGAAGTGTTGCGTCGAAGTGGAATGTATGCAGTGGACTTCATACTTTTTCTGAGACAATTAAGGTGGCTCGGTCATGTGAGCTGTATGGATTCGACGCGGATACCGAAACAACTATTACATGGTCAGCTGAGTATTGGGAAGCGGCATGTAGGGAAACCGAAGCTACGTTACCAGGAAATGATCAAAGTGAGCCTCTCACGTTCTAATCTTGATTGCAGGTCATGGGAATCAAAGGCGGTTGATCGGCGTGCATGGCGCGATCTAATCACGAAGGCAGTTGCCGAAGTACGGGAGAAAGTCATTGTACATGCAGAGAAGAAGGGGCAATTGCAGAAGCGGCAAGCACCGATGAATTGTACTCCAACGACATCGAGCGCATGATGATGTAGCACATGCGGTCACGAGTGCCTGAGTCAGGCAGGCTTAGTGAGTCATGAGCGAGGCCACTTGGGACCACTACCGAAGCGACGACGGGTCTTGCAGAGAACTTAGGCAGAACCGGCGCAGCGTTTGTAGGTACGCTGCATTCGATTTACTAACAGCGTGCTTGCATGCTAAGTCTATTTATTTCAGATGGTGGGTTTTCAATTTTGCCTTAATGCTTTTCTTTCTCATATAAATGTTTACCTGTAGTCTCTTCTATAAACTTGTACACGTCGCTCAAGCCAATTGCAGTTAAATTCGATAACATTTGCGTGCTTGTGGCATTTCCGTAAAACATACTTTCTGACCTCCTGAACTTATCTCGGATTCTTTTGTAAACAGCTTATTTCATATGCTCATTAATTTTTGATTTATGTCACCGTTTCCTTATGCATTACTTGATTTAGTTTCTTTGTTAGCTTTCTCTCAAGTGATTGGATGTTGTCATTTCAGAAAACTTGGTATTCGACCGGTTAATGTATTTACGGTGATGGACAACGTTTCGCTTTTGACACAAAAGCTTCAAAAGCGAAACGTTGTCCATCACCATAAATACATTAACCGGTCGACTACCAAGTTTTCTGAAATGATGACTTCCCGATCGGTTCCAAATATGTTCCAAGATATTGACTGGATCTTGCTTGATATCCTCCGTGTGACTGCGCTTGATGTGCATGTTGACAATGCGCCTACCTGTCTATTACCCACTACCTCGTCCATACTGGCTCGAGGAGACAGTTGGTCGTTGCTGGAGGGGACGGGGTGCACGGTCCTTGTGGCCGTGCTAGGCTCGAAGAGTGGTTTCATGCACTCAGTGTGGAGCGGACTACGGTCCAGCCACCGCCTTGTGTGCGCTTGATTTCCCCAAATACAGTGTGCTTGTGTTTGACTGTGAAGAAGTGTGAGCCGGCTCCGTTGATGAAACGTGGTTCCCATCCGCATGCCTCCCGGTCTTATTCCTTCGGGTTTACACTGGATATGGGGTGTGTGGTTGGAGCTGTGGGTGGTGCAGCGCAAGCCACCCATGGTCCCTCTGTAGGCGCAGGCGTCCTGTGGCTGACCACAGTGACAGGCAAATCCAAAAACGGATGCCGCCAACTATATAGATAAACCATTACTCTCACTATAATATTTCAGCAAATGTTTATATATGTATAAGCTTGGCGGCAACCGGTTTCGGATTTGCCTGTTACTGTGGCCAGCCACAGGACGCCTGCGCCCAGCAGCGGTGAAGAAGCTTCAAGAATGCAAAATCAGCCTCAGCATGGGGCACCATATATTTATATGCTTTTATATATATATAAGCCTGTATATATATATATATATATATATATATATATATATATATATATATATATATATATAAAGGTTGCGACGTTTGTCAGCCACAATAATTTTATACGCCCTGAAGCTCCATTAAGCGTCTACCGAATGTACAGAAATGCATAGATAACGATCCGCAATGTCCGCCAGTTGTGGAGTTCTTTCATTCATCCCGCACCAAAGGTCAGAGTGTCTTCACATTTTTCTCCATGCAGTTCTTGCACAAGTTTTCGTTTGATTATTCATCCGGCTGCCAGAGCTGGGGTAACAACCAGGCCTGAAACGTCGGTTTAGCCGCATGGAGCACCGGACAATATGATGGGATGTTTGAGGTCGAGCACTCTAATGGCTATCAAAAATGACCAACTAGTCTGTGATGTCAGCAACTCCTGGGTTACCGAAGACCGTGATTCGGCAGTTTTCAAGTGACGGATGATGTTTTTGCCAATGGTCGTAATGCAACAAGCAACTACTTCAAGCCTTTCCGTGTTGTTTCGTTAGTTAGAAGATCCACAAGTTCACGAGCACCAGCTGAGTCTCCAAACTCATGTTGAACAGTTTGCAGCATGGCTGTGCTATGATGCGCGACAGCTTCCAGCCAGGAGTTCCAGCGTCTGATGACCGGTTCAGGTGGACCGGTCGGGTTATCCACGCCTTCTTGAGCTAGATACTCAATTTAGACACGCCACTTTCTTCCCGAAAGACAAAAGGCAACGAATACGTCGAGTTAAAGAGAATTTGCGAAGGGTCTATGCAATCAATTTGATGCAATGGACAATACGTGTTATGTGAACTGAATCCCCACAAACAGATTTAATGACATCTCGGTAGCATGGTGTCATATAACTTGCACCATCGGACACGAAAGCCGTTCGCGGGTGACCGCAATGGGGAGCGTAGTATGTCGGCAATGTGTGAGTGAACAGATTTAATGTACATGTGGACCAAAGGTGCTCGTATGATGGACAAGAGAGTGAGTGCACAGCGTGAGCAGACAGAGGGTGCATGGTTGCTTAATGGATAGATGCATGGTTGACACTTGGATCGGGATAAAACGGCGGCCATAGGAGTGGATGGGAAGACAGAGAGAATTAGGTAGCAGACGGTAGACCGATGGAGGTTATGGTGCCACAGAGGAATGTTCACATAGTCACTGGTTACTTTGGCATTCCTTCCGTATACAAGTATAGGATTACAACAAAAACAAATACGAATTAGTTTTCCTTATGAATTTATCCTTCTTTCCGCGATTCTGCGAAAGTTTTCATTTTCTTCCACGGTTAGTAAATTCCGCGATCTTTCTGCGTTACTCGGAATCGCGGAAAATCGGAGTCTTTACCAAAAGTGATGATGGTGAGTAGACATTTTAAGTGTAATTCCGCAGTTGTCCCGTAAGACAAAGAGTGTTTCATGGACCAAGGTATGGTGCAACGCATTTAAATGAAAAAGGAGATTGTCCGATTGCGAAGCTTGCCCAGTCTTTAACCGTTAACAAACGATAACAAGAAAGTTTCAATAACTCAAAGACGTGTACGCAAATAGCATTGTATCTCAAATGCAGTGAATAGTGAGACGACAACGGAAAACACTATCGCTCCATCCGACACCCACCTGTACACTGCCAACTCGCCTTGTGCAGTAACGCAATTGACGAAAAATTTATCGGAACCACATTGAGAGGGAAACTGAACACAGACGATTCGTTGAGGCCAATCAACTGCTTCAGTGCCCGATGCGGTGGGGGAAGCATCCATACGGGACATGTTTGCGTTGCCGCATGCGCCACCGAGCTCCATCGAATACCGGTTGATCAACACGACCTTCAATGTGTTGCAGGTATTCACACATGAGGCAGGCAGCAAGAGAAGCAAGCCTTCCTTCTCAAAAGTGTCACGACCTGACTCGATTGGTTCGTGAGGAAGGAAGGCCTTACCACGTTGGTCTGGAGGAGAACGATGACGGTATCCACCAAGCCAAAAGTTTCCCGATGGATCTAGTGAAGGGCAAATGCAACACTGTTATGCATGTGATGAGGCGGTATAACAAATTCGAAGTGCACATGGGTCGTTGACACTACGGGAGCTCAGCTGAACAAAAACAAACACCCCAATGAGGTGAGCGAACGTTCATGTGGATGGAATCCCAATGGAAGCAGAGAACACGGCAAAATACGCGTGAACGAACTAGGTGGCAGTACAAAAACAGGATAGAGTCATGCACGAGAAACGAAGAGGCATCATCAACACACAATGGTACATCGCGCTGATGCCTCGATACCAGGAAGCGTCGAATGGTTGCGCACAGGCTAGGATAGTGTCAGTGTGCTCCGATCCAGGGTAGCGCGGGAATTTGGGTCTGAGGCACAAAGGACGCAAGTCAGACACCTACATAGTTGATCCTAAATCCAGGCAAAGAGCACAAGTTATCCGACTACCTTTCATGCATCATGGTGGTAACTGGAATGGCGAAATTTGAATTGGTGGCCACGTGGTGTCACGAAACATCCCCACAGCGAGGGATATCTGTTTGCAAGCAACCCTTAAAATATTGCTGCTGTCTTCGCAGCACATATCTCCTGCAGAGGCGCTTCGGTGCCGTTCTTCCCCATCACTGTATCCCACGGGACCGCTTTCCGTCTTGTTTGGAGGAGGAACTGAGCACGGCGGAGCTAGTAGCCACGTTGTGTTTGACGAATAACGTCATTACCACAAGTTCAACTGAGTTTCGCGAACACCGCATGACAAAGCGGTGCAGGAATGAAGTGATGGGAGGGAACAGCACTGGATCCCTCCACTTCGGATACGGCCCCAGTGATCAGAATGGCAGGTACAACACGGCAGGTATTCCAAAACCAAGAAACCAACTCATGTGCCTACTTTATGTTGGAACGCATGCTTTCGATCTTCGTATGAACCAGTACAGACTTTACATGACACTACAGGTAAACGCGGGATGAAAAAATAGGAAGCGGTTACTAATCTTCCATACGATGATAATCCATACGCCAGTTTAAGGTCTATTATGAGATCAATACCACTAGAGAGCTCATCCTATGCGCCATAGCAGAACAGTTTATGGAGTTAAATTTGAGCACAACCCAACTGAAACGTGCGAGTGGCAAAAAAGTGTTCATACCTAGGTTCAATAAGTCCGATGCCTCTCAATGCAGAATCGTCAAATTTGCGAAGTCAACTATGGACTGTAAATAAACGACTTCAAAATCGCTGCTAATAGAGATGCGGAAATAGGGACTGGGTAGTTTAATACAAATCAAGTGAACATTTGCAGTTGTAATTAAAAGTCAACTTCCAGTTGAGAATCAGGACTCACACATTTGCATGTATCTTTCAATTCGTCAACCGTCACTACAAACTAATAAAAAGCGAAAAGTGAGCCAACCTCGAGCTAAATTCCGAGATTAATCGCCAAACGCGGTGATAAAGAAGGTTGTGTTGGTCAAAGTAGGTTAATTATGTCAGTTATGATTGCATGCGATCGGCCGAAGGTACTGGAGATTTAGCACTCAAAATATCATCTGGATCTCCGGCAATGATGTTCGGTTCTTGCCATTTGGCTAACTGAGCAAATGCTGAGGTCGAATTTAGCACGAAGTTGTTAGCCGTCAGATCAGGGATACATCGCACGCAAGCCAATTCGGAAACAACTCATCTTAGCCAAGGAGCCGCACTGATGAACGCATGGCACCACGGGATGCGGGTCTCCACTCATCCAACAATAGACGGTGGACCGGGGCAGGTATCCCGAAACTGGGTGTGGCGACGACATCTGGAAACTCGTATATTGGCTCTCCGTAAACCACAAGATTTAAAGTTTCATGCAATTGAGTCAACTAAGCATGGCGGAGCATACACCGTGCTCCAGGCTGATAACACGCATTTTATGCAAGATGCGTTCCTGATTAATCGGCACACAAACGAGTGCGCTTGAATGGTTCAGTTTCTCACGACTCGACGCCGTGCAATCAGACGTCGATTGAGAAGAGATAAAGGCACCATCGAGAATGTCATCTGAGGCAAACCAATGCTTGCTCCCAGTGACCTCTAAGGCAACAGCCATCGTACTTTTAGTGACGCTGTTAACGCATGATGAACTCAGCAATAATTATGTGATCGCAACTCAATTCAGTTGTCCAACTACAGTTGAGGTAGATGAAATTACCTCCGTTTGGGTCACTTTAGTAGCAATAATGAGTACCTGCAATGGTTAAATAAAGATATTAAGGGACAGAATCAGAGAACCGAATGTCGTGACACTACTGACTTCGCGATCCTCCGATAATAATCAGGTTTTAGACCGCCAATGTGACCAATTCCGGGACTTCTGTTTAGAAAGACGAGGGACGCCAACTCATCACTGACCAGTATCCTCACGCTGTTTGTAATGATACAGATAGCACGATTCGAGGTGACCCAGTGGCAAACAAAGCTAGTTAGTGACCGTAAAACATAGAGAAGTTCAGAGCAAGTCAAAGCGGTTGGAATAATGTGAACGATCTCGTGCAGGTTTGCGGCATAAAACCAAATAACGGACCTTGGAATCACTCGGGGATCTCGAAAGGGAAACAAACAGTAATTAATGGATATCAACTCTCACAGAAGCTTCCTCATGTCTGCAAACCTACGTAAATGTGTCTGCTATCCACAAGATGACCGAATACTCATAGTATTGCACACTATACATCGGACCTGTCGGGTGATGCCGACAGTTCCCATAAATGATCCACGCATTGGAAATTCGCCCAAATCTTAACAACACGTGCAGCAGCCATGACAAGTGAACCAAATAACCCCACTACATTGGTATTCGGTTATCGCGAGCAGCTGTTGTATGCAGGTCATCAGTACCCTGCACTTTGCTATCGAAATGAGGTCGGAGCTTGAAGTAGTGCGGTGGTTTGCGTGCCTCAGCTGTCCTGGGTGGTGCTTTTGCATCTTCACATTCACTCATAACGGACTGATCAATGGCTAGAGACCATACAAACGCAGTCTGCTGATCTACCATGTAAGGGATTAAAGTGAGGATGACACCTCACGGTGGCCCAATGTCAAAATCCTCACGGCCTTAAGGTCAGGCTTTTGAACTAAGGAATTTGGTCGAGAACCCTAAGCGTTCCCCTGTCTAGACTTGGGCAACCTGATAATATCCCACCCACGCAACAGAATGAACTCACTTAAATGAATTTCTACAGGACCCGGCTGTCGCAGAAGATAGACAACGAAGCAAAATCTGCTGCGTCGAGAAGAATGGATAGGTGCTAAGGGGTTACGGCTCAAGCCTTCCCACTTTCCTATTCTCCTCTACTACACTGTCATGATAGGCGTTCATCTTCCAGTTTCTACTGAAACGCAAACGCGGACTATCACCCTAGCCATATACGAAAAACCTATGCCCAACCGAGCGAAAAAGCCCAGATCCCCGCCTTCTATACATGTTTACAGGCAACTTCACGCATAGTTAGCTTGTCAAAGTATCAAAGCAACGTGTTGCTCATTCAAATTCACACGGGCATCAATTAATTCTCTCCCGGAGGGATTACATACACGCACTATCAGTGACGCTCTCATTGATCATGGGACATTAGCCAATGGGACTCCCTGAATGTAAGCAAGGGCTAGATGTATGCGTCTATGGGGGACAGGTATGCTCCTGAGTAGGTTGACACATTGGTATTAACGGAAGGCAGACAGGGATGAGTGTCAGTGCTAGACTGACTGTACCTAGTCAAACTAGGATAAGGTGTTTGAACTTTCTCCCTCAGCACCCCTATAACAGATCTTTTGTCGCAAAGAGTTACCATTGGTTCGTATTCTGACCCGACCGGTAGCCGGTGTCCCTGTGCCAAATTTCCAGCGCTTGTCCGAGCAGTCCGTAACGTATCGAGCGCACAATATGTGATCGGTCCAAGGTGCACAGTACCAGTGGCACAATTAGGCTCCAGGTTAGTATTGCTTCTGCTTGGAACATTATACAACATGCAGATAATATTAATAATAATAATAATGGGCATATTTCTCATCAAGTAAAACGATGCGACAAGATTTGGTACAGAACATACACGCACAGGTGATGTAATGCTGTCGCATGAGCATTATCAACTTGTCTATTTATATTTGTCTGCATTTCTGGCAAGGTATCTGCCCCATATTTTTGCTCTGTGCGATGGTAAGAGACAACTTTGCAGTTTGAGTATGTTGTAGACATTAAGCACTAATTACATTGCGTAGATTGGTGATATTACACTCATTAAATGTTGTCTGGGCTTTCATTGAATGGATGTTCAAAGGATCATCCCCTCGAGAATAGCGACATAATGGTGTTCCCAAGTTACTGCGAATGGATTGCACGGTGTCACATGACTTGATGGTCAATGACAACCGATTCCACAGAGAAACATATATGGTGAGAGGAAAGTTAGACCGCAAATTTGTCTTGCATGGTGGTATAATCAGGGTAAGGTCTTTGTAACTTAGGTCTCGCGTGTAATTGTACTTCAACGTTAAGGTGAATCGATTGCACTGGGTATTGCCATGAATCAGATTGTGCATCAGTCTCAAGTTATCTGTTAGTATTCGTAGCCAAAGCGCATCGAGATGGAGTTGCTGGCATCGCTCTCGAGAGTGTATGATAGAATTTTTTCCCAAAACGTGCTTAGTAAATGACCGTTGTAGGCTTTCTATAGATGTTCTCTCTGATTTCCTCATATTGCCTCAGATTACGCTTCGATACTCCAGGATGGGACGAGTAAGGAGTTTAAATAGTTCCACTTTAACTGTGTTTGCATGCATGTTATTGGAGATGTTAGCGAGTGATTGTCTGGCTCGTGCTTTCTGGTATTCAATCTGTTCTAAAAACATAAACGTACAAAGATACCTGATTCCAAGGTCACAGATTGACCGTTGTACACAGATGCGATTGCTGTTACGTGTGACAGTTACTTCGGGGGTCAAGCAACCGCGACATATGATACTTGAC